TCTGTCTCATGTCTTTTCTACATGTTGGGTAATTGTTACTGCATCAAAATCAAGTCCTTGCTCATGGCAGTCAATAAGGGGTCGTACTGTATAAGTGGTGATTGGTGAGTGTGTCCCACCATTTGTACCCATCCAACCAAAATGGTTGCAGCATTATTGAGTGCCTAGACATGACCATACGGGGTAGTGGCTTTATTCAGAGTTTCTCAATTATTAAGACATCTCTGCTGCCTATATGATGACAGAAATTGCCCATGTTTTTGCATCAGTCTTCTTATGTACATGATGATCAAACCTCTTGGGTTGGAATGGTCATTTCAGCCCCTGGAAAGGTATAACAAGAAGTCTAAGTTATTAAATTTTTATTATTGGTGTCTTGTTATATTAAAAAACTATCCACATTACTCTCATTTGTACCCCAAATCAAGATCAAAATATCAATTCAAGAGAGTCGATTTAAGACCCATCTACCCCTTGAAACACTCAAGTTATAGAGGCATATTGGAGGGTTACAGATGATATGCTCTAATACATTGCGATATTTTAATCCTTGCCCTAAATGCCTGTTCCTAAAAATAGAACAAGCAAGACTAGTGGTGTGACCCAGATTAGCAAGCCAACCAGCCACAAAGGTAGCTTCTCTTAAACACATGCATATAAGACATAGTCACATAGTAAGATTAATGTTATGGCAGGTAGGATTGGATCATGTGGATGAGCCTCATCAAATAGCACTCTTCAATGAGTTGTTTGGTAAAGATAAATATTTTGTACGATTTTGTCTTAAAAAATGAGACAAAAATCTGCTTTAAACGTTTTGTATGATTTTTTTACACTTCAATGCCATTAGGCGCCATATAAGCCAAACAGTGAAGGAATCAGTCTTGAAAATGAAAAATGTTAAAATTGATGTTTTTTTTATAAATAGTTCATACGATTTTTGAGAGGCTCAACCAAATAACGTTTTAGGCGTTTTTTTGTTAAACACATCTACAATGCTGATCTGGTACAATTTCTTCAAAAAACTACATCGATACCAAACACTATCTAAGCTAGAATCCCCTTGAATGATAATGCTGCTTCGAATAAACCTTGATGTAATGTGATGTACTTCAAGAGTTGCCCGAGATTCTACCATGTTAATAGAATACTGACCACAAAGAGAAGGTGACCAACATGATCCGTTGCCACCACTCCAACCTCACCCAGCCCAACCATCGATTTTCCTTGATGCATCAAAATTGATCTTCACTTCACACCTACAAGAGCTCCATGACTCTGTTTGGTGATTGGAGCTCGCTGTCTGAAATAAAGGGCAAGTATTCTACAAAACTCACTATTTCAAATTTTCAGATATGTGAAAATAACATCCAAAGGCTGTTAACAAATGGTTGTTCGTTATTCATAGTCGAACAGGATCTATTCTATAGGCTTGTACCTCTGTATCCTAGAACATATCAGTTTTGATCATGAAAAGTCTTGGTATGGATAATGTTGCACAAAAGCCAAGACACAATTTTGAATGGCACAAATAGTAAAGTAAAATAGAAATAACGAGAAATAAGAAAAGAGACCCCAATAACTTGACATAACATATTCGGGTTAGTCTATAAGCTGAAAATGGGTGGGGTCCGTATCACGGGGTTCTGCCCCGATAGATAATTTATCTCGGGATGGGTGTTAAAGTTAATAAGGGGCCATTTGATAACAGCTGAAATTGATGAACTGAGCTGAATGGTTACAAAAAAATATTGATGAACTGAATGATTATTTCTTTGTGTTTTTAGTTATTTATCAAAACATCAAGTAACAAGCTTCTCAGTTCAGCCACTTCACCTGTTACCAAACAGCTCCTAAACTTGGTGAATATATAGATATGTAGGTTATAGTTTTGAGTGGCATTTGAACCACATACATGGTAATCATTGCTTGGTATGAGGGTAAAATATAGGACTGACAAGCATGAAAAGATGGGTCCAAAGTCTTGATCCAAAAGCCACTTCACAGTAAGAAGCCAAATGTTATGCACTCCTTACTCCTTTCAAGATCCCGGATATCCGGGACCAGTATTTATTGGGTAATGGCCTTTATTTGAACCCTTGCTGTCATTATATGAAATGACCTTACTCCAATATTTTATTAACAATTAGGAATGAATCTATCTTACATGGCTTCATACAAATCACTGATACCACAGGAATCAACTTTCAAGAGCACAATTTGTATGTATCTATATAAAAAAATAGTACTACAATAGACTTTGATTTGGTCTATATCTACAATGCAAGGAACCTTGTAGATTTACAGTTGAACTGAGAACATTTTAGCTTCTTATATCTATAATGTCGTGAACTTTGGTGTAATGGTAAAATCTCAAGCCTGATACACATAAGAACAAAGGTTTGAGTCTAAGAGCTGGGACCAACACTGGGTAATGGCCTTATAGGAACCCTTTGGCTTTAAGATTTGAATAGATTTGTTAGTGATAATCAATCCTTACCATTTGATGCAAAAACCCCATTTGTTGATTTGCTTGTGCTTTGCCATTTTCATGCCAAAATGTATTCATGTTCACAAATAAAAGGAACCCATTTTTAACCTAATTTTAGTTTCTTTCTTCACATAATTCATTAATATCTCATATTTTAGTTAAATGAACATCAGAGGTAATAGGGTGTAAAGCAAAAGATGCATTCTCAACAGGAAGAATTATATTTGCAACTATTTGTTATCTCCCAAGTTGGCTCCATGACTCCTCCGAGTTGATTCCACTCCAGGCATGGGGAGCCGAGTCATTATGATTCCTTTGGATCAAGCGATAGATTACAGTGTCTCCTTTGACTCATAATCTAATCACAGTCATTTGTGCCCATTCAATTTTCATTGGTTCCTATTTGTGGCTTGTCAAACATCTTAAAATGCAAAAAGTTGGTATTTTGGCCAATCTGAACCATCCATCAGACAGGGGATCATCCATATTAGCCACTTGTTCACTTTCCCTATCCATATTATCCATACACCATACCTTTCTAGTACAAACCAACCAAGAGAATTTAAAATGTTATGCCACATAAATATAATTTACAGAATTAATTCTAACTTGAATCAACCCCATGACTCCTGAGTTGACTCTGCTCCTGATGTTACAAGCCCGAGTCAAAAACAAAAACCCAAATTGATGAGCTATGGTTCAATGAATTTCATTCATTCATATGGTTGATTCTATATTAAGTATTAAATAAGTTATATATAACTTTTATAAAAAAAGCCTATATTTTTAAGGAACCTAGTCTTGATACGTCTTTCTCACAATTTCACTCTATAAATATACCTTATTTCTAAAATATTTTGAAATAATTAGAGGGCTAGAGATCTATTAAACTGTTTGTAGGATTTTGTTGTCTAGTCTACCTAGAAAGTCATTTTCGGATGTGCTTTCAAAGTCAAAATTCTATCACATTATGTCCACAAAAAATTCATTAAAGATCATAATCTCATATTGCCACTCCATGTGTGGCCCCCCTCATTCCCCAGTTAATCAAGATATGGCCATATGGGTTTTCTTTGATATGAAGAATAAAAGCAGGAGACATCTATTCAACAGATTTGAATGACCCAGGAATCTTTCATGCCATAGCTTAGCTAGTGGCCTAAAAGGGCTTCATTTGTTCTCTAGGCCATCTTCTCTCACTAAGAGTCTATTGGATTTATTCTTGGTTTGATGTAAGTTGTTCAGGACGGTTTTGGTTTCTTCCCCAGATCTTCAGAACTCACCAGCTTCCATGTAGCAGCAATGACATGGTCAATTCTGTAGTAAGCTGGTCCAAGTCGGATTTGTCCACATTATCTCTGTTCCCCATTATGAAGTACAGTGAGAGAGAGCAGTAGAGGGCATAGCGGTTTAGAGCTTGAATACATTATACATGGGCTGAGGGCTGTGCCCAACTTCGCCCCAGTAGAGTCTCATGTGTATGATTCCTTTCCTGTGCAGTCTGCAAGGAAATCTGTCCCATACAAAAGTTAGGACAATAAGACAGGGTGGCTTGCGTCTGGGGCTACAGGGCTTGACGTATAGTTTCAGTTTGGGGCTCACAAATTTGTCAGGTGTCACTATCAGGACCCACCACTAGATGGGGGTTCCACTGCTTATCTATCAAGTGATCAGCTTACTTTTTAAGTTTTTAACCAACTGACTTATCTATGATCTGGGGGTATTGATTTTTTAAGGGGTAGTAAACTTGTTGCAGAACTTATTCCAAAAGAACCCATCTTTGTACTCAAAATGTTTTCCGGCTGATTTGTGGTCAAACTAACTATTGTTCATGATGGGGCCCATCAGGGATTGGTTCAGAAGCAATAGAAATTAGACAGCTGGACTGTTATGGGGCCAGGACCATAAGCATTTTGATGTCTCCTGCAGCACCGGACCAGGGGGAGCTTTGGCCAGCACCAAAAACTTGACAACACACACTGAGTTGTGCTATTGAATATGAAGCTTGTTGGATTCAAGGAAGAATGTTGCAAAAAGCTTGACAGCACTCAAACCAGCTGTGCAATTGTGTACTGAACTGTTAAAGATTCAAGGAACATTGATGTTGAATAAGTTGTAAGTAGAGGATAAAAAGGTTAGAAAAGCTCGACTGCAGGGAGAGCCCATGCCTTGAAATATGGAATTCTCTTCCGCCCCTGATAAAAACAAACCCTCCCCAAAGGCCAAGGCCCCCACTTGGGTTGGGTAGGGCTTGCAGCCTTATCTAGTACCACTGTGGTAAGTCAGAAGAGATTGGAATCCAATGGCTGAGCTCTCGACTGCATGGGTCCTGGTGTGGGGTGGTGCTTCTGGGCAGACTGAGTCCCACAGGAAAAGTCTCATAATAGAGGTTGGGGTTGGTTAGGTGCCACCGACAGTGACAAGATGATCAGAGCCTCAGCCCCTCCTCATAGAGAGAAATTTTTATGAATGGTCAGGGAGGGGCCGGGGTGAGATGGAGAGGGGGGGAGAAAGGGAGATGTAATACCGGTTGGGGGGCAGGCATGTGGATGTGTGGGGGACACACCTAGTCACCCACCCCATTGGTAAGGTAAACCCTTTAAATTATTGAGTGAAGGACAGAAAAAGAAAGAAGAGAAAAGCAAAGCTCAGCCTAACCCCTCTTGCCTCCCCCACCCAATCCCCCTCCCCTCTCCCCATTCTCTTTCCTTCTCTCTCTCTCTATCTCTTTAATCTGGTTTCTGGTCTTCTCAAAGGAAAAGGGTGGTGGTCTTCTTACAAGTGGGGGGTTGCAGAGGAGAGGAGAAGAAGCCCGGCAAGAGTAGAAGCAACAAAAACTGAACAAGTCTATCGTAGAAATTTGTTTTAGTGTGAGGCAGGATTAGTTCCTTGTATCCTTATTGTGTAGTTGGATTTCAGTTGTTAGTGAAGATGCCAAGGCCCGGCCCTCGGCCCTATGAGTGTGTCAGGAGAGCTTGGCACAGCGACAGGCACCAACCCATGAGGGGATCTCTCATTCAAGAGATTTTCAGGTCTGTTTCTTGTTTCTCCTCCTCAACCCCACCTCGAAAGGAAGCCCCCCTTTTTGTGTCTAGCTTGTTTGGTTGTATTTGTTGGTATTTTCTTAAGTTCTGCCATGTGTTTGTTTAGGGTCGTCAATGAGATTCACAGCGCTGAAACTAGGAAGAACAAGGAATGGCAGGAAAAGCTCCCTGTTGTTGTGTTGAAAGCAGAGGAAATCATGTACTCCAAAGCTAATTCTGAGGTTCTAACATTATTCTTAGCTGGGTTTCCCTTGTGGGTTCTCCGTCTTCTCGTTTGCTCATCTATTCTTGCGTGTTTTGCTTTACTCAGGCGGAGTACATGGATCTCAAGACGCTTTGGGAGCGGGTAAACGATGCCATTAACACGATTATTCGCATAGATGAGAGCACTGAAACAGGAGAGCTTCTTCAGCCTTGTATCGAAGGTGCACTCCTTTTTTCTTTCTCTTTTGTCGTTTCCTTCTGCTTCTTTGATCCAACTCCATAATTCTGTAGTTGTGTTGTTGTCATTTTAGGCTTTCTATGTTTTGCAAGAAGAGGTTGTTTGAAAAGGGTATACAATGTGTAATTCGTCTCTCTGGTTTTCTCCCTATTTTGTTCAGCCGCCCTTCTCCTTGGTTGCATTCCAAGAAGAGCATCGAGAAGCCAACGGCACAGTAACCCGAGGTGCTATCTCACCCCCAGCGCGCAGCAGCCTGCCTCTGTCCCTCCGAGAATCCCTGACAGCACAACCCATAGAGGTCTGCCCCCTTTACTGCCACTTCAGTCCGGCAATCAAACCACCAGCCCACAGTTGATTCCGTATTATTCGAGCTTCACGAGGCCAACAACCATGAACCCAACTCGTCTGGGTTCGGAATGTGGCATTCCTGTCACTCGAGGCAATAACCCCACTACACCTCGCGAGTTCCCTTTTCCACCACAGAGTTTCCTCCCATCTGGTAGTAACCAATCCTTTCCTGTTGAAGCTTACCCCCAATCAAACATGAGTTGCGTTTATCCCCTGTATTATGGCACACCCGTTCAGATTAAGGAGCCTCGGTTAAGCTCCCAAACTCCCCAAGACTCAAACTGTAACAGGGTTGTTGGTAAACCTTCTTTCGGGAGAACCCCAGAGGCTGCCGAGGTGGGTGTGCTGGAGAACTTCTTACCCAGTGATGCAGCTGTAAATGCCTCAAACAGAACATCTCAACCAGACTTAAGGGATGCATCTGGCAAACCTCCTGAGATTGAGTGTGACTTGTCCTTGCGCTTGGGTCCGCTCTCAACTGCAGGCATTGTCCCAGAAAATCACTGGGTTCATGAGGTTGAGGACGTTGGGTCGAGTAGCTCTCAAGAGGGCAGCAAGTTCAGTGATTTGTCTCCACACAACGATAAAGAGTTCTGTTTCTTCCCCCGGGACAATGTCGACGATCCTTTGGAGTCCTCTTCCAGTAAATGGAGTTCTGAGGGGGAAGGTCCAGGCCTCGATGCAACCTTCAGAAAGCGCAAAGCACCCGATGGAAGCCCTGCTGAGGAAGGCCAATTTTACTGGCAACCAAAGCTTCCATCAGATCAATTCCTTGCCAGATTCAAGAAGCCTGGTTTGTAGGAAATGGGAATCCTTTTGTAGTACATAAATTTTGGAATCTTGAGATGGCTCAAGTTTTATATATGTATGTCTCCACATAGCCTTCTTTGCAACAATTTTGTATGTTCAACTAGTTTTTTCATGTTTTGATGTTGAGCTTTGAGCTGCATGCTTTTGCCTGAATGCGAAGTGAAGTGTAAACAGATTTGTTTCTAATGCAACACTGGATAAAACAAAGCTCTAAACCATTGGTTTCAACTGTGGCTTTAGCTGAAAAAGGCTCACGCCAACACCAGAGAAAGGAATATTTGAACGAGAACTGTGGATGGAAATGGTTCCATCGGTAATGATTAAATATCTGAAGTCGCTAACAGTAGGGTAGAAGAATAATAATTGAATAAGAACAGTGAATGGAAGTGGTTCGATTGATAATGATTGAACGTCTGGAGCAATGCTTTACTGTCTAATGGGTTTGTCCGGCTAAGAGTGAAAGATGGAAATTTTGTGGAGCTGATTGTAGTGAACCTGACAGGCTATCGTGGCAAATGCCAAGGCTGTGTTTGGATTGTGGGTGGAAGTGGAAAAGGCTCGGATTCCACGATTTCTCATTTGGTGGATAATGGGAATTACCAGTCTCCTTGGTCATTCCCTTTTTAGGGGTTTGATTTGTTGGGTACACCCCATTTTCATCAGTCAAAAATTAAGTTTGAAAGGACAAAACAGCCCTTTTTTTGTATTTTTGATATCACCAATAGTCTAATACTGTATTTTTCCTCTTTTCAACAAGGATTGCCCACACCATTCCCTATTCTGGTTCAGGCCAACATTTTTAGGTTTAGTTTCACTTCAAGGGTCCTCTTGGAATCTAATTCCAATTGAGGGGAAATCGTTCTGTATTCCCCATATTCTGCTGTTAGTTTACTCTCCCCCTCAGCAGTCCAAGCACAGCCTCAGAGCTCAGGAAGAAAGGGAAGTGATATTGATGGAGCATGGCTCACATTTATTATCAACCCATCTATGTGAGAAGTGATGCACTTGGTGGTCTTTTGTCATTTGTCAAATTTCCATTTTCAAAATTGAGAGGATTGCTAGAAGAATAAACCAGCTGTTTCTGTCCCCATCATGGCTGTTTTTATTGGGCACTTGCAGCTGTTCATTCTAGTCTTTTCTGCGGCCAGGTTTAGACCATCCTCTTTGACTTGAATAATCGTACATTAGTGAATTGAGAGGTTATGTAGGTGCTGCCAATTTGCTGGTTTATATCAGATCACTGGTTTTTATCTTTTGGGAGAAAGTCCAAACAGGGCAATACTTATCGGGTTAAAAAAGGACTAAACAGAGCTAGTAACACTCCAGACTCCTGAGTCCTGCCCCTTACACCATCAAACAAAATTCTCAGAATACAACTATTAGTATTTAGCTTGGCAGTTGGCACACCAATTTGGATTAAGGAGTTCTGTCATGTCACCTTTTAATCCAACTATTCTCTCCTGAGCTTCTGCTAATGGCAAATTATAATGCCATATTAATAGATTCCGGTCTTTTAATTCAACTCTGTAACTTATCCAAAATTGTAAATTTTACTGAAAATAGCAGAACTCAAGCTTTTTATTTTATCTATTATGGGTTTGAAATTGAGATCTTTCAAGCCCTGTAATTCACTTTCTTCTGATCCTCATGCTCCAGAAGATTACATTTTTATACCATGAGTCCATGAGCTCATTCTCCAGGGAGGGAAAAATAAATAAATAAATAAGCTCATTATCTGAGAAACAACTGTTCTAATAGATGTAAAAATGAACCACATACAACCTATATGTAGAACATGGTATGGGGCTTAGTAGTAGAAGACAACTGTGGTACTGAAAACAAAAACACAAGGAAGAACAGAGAAGATCTGCTCCGCAGTATGGGCATACCGCATATGCATCTAGTGTAAGAAAGCGATGACAATGGACAATAGTACGGCAGAGAAGCCGCCTACGGAAAGAGATGAAGCAGAGCTTGGTGGGGGCGGTGAAGAGGTTGCAGTAGGTGTAGTGGAGTTGGTGGTGCCATTGGTGGTAGTAGAAGCGGCACTGACGGTGATGGCTAGCTTCATGCCCGCTTGGCAGTGGTTGCTAATAGTGCAGATGAAGTAGTGGTCGCCTGAAGCATTAAGAAGAATCTCCGCCGGACTGGTTGAAATGATGGAACCGATGGGTGTCTTAGTGCAGGAGTCATAATTAGCTTTTGTCACTTGGGCCACGTCATGCGAGCCGGAGAAATCGAACTCTGGAGAACATAAAAAACATAAATTAGGAAAACGATTAATCGCAGATGAATTTGTTGTCGGAGAAAGCCCATCTGCTTTAAATTTAAGTTCAGGCTGGATTTGATGGAAAACAGATGATTTCCTTGGAAAACATAGGTGGGTTCAAAAATTGATTGCGCATGTGTTCTTGCCCAGCACCAGCACGCAGAGTGAAATCACAGAAAGATTGGATTTTGAAGAATCCTTACCCAGAGTGTCGCCAACGGCGAAATTCTGGCTGGAAGCCCAGGTGGTGTAGAAACTGTTGGAAGACGGAAGTGTCCAACCGGTGCTGCCTCCGACGGTGTGTGTTGTCTGTGCAGCTGCACTCTGAAACAGAGCTACAACAAGCATGCACCCCAGCAAACCCATCATCCTACGAGCCATGTTTCTGTGTTCACCAGGTCGTCCCTGTCTCTCTCTGAACAACGACGATTTCAACTTGTTTGTGAGTTGTGACAGAGTGGGTGAGAAAACGGCGAAGCGAGCTTGGAGTTCTTATAAAAGCGGGGAGAACTGGGGAAGTGACAAGTGCATTCATTATTCATTCCCCTGTAGAATTTTGGGTGAAAAAGCAATGCATATTCGGTTCAGACGTAAGCGGGGAGAATGGTCAAGCGACTCAAGCCGTCAAGAAATTAGCGAACCTTAACTACCCCGCCCACCACCACCGCCGGCCGGGGCGACTTCTGGACTTCAGAGAGACGCGTCATGGTGGGTCCCTTGCAAATGAAGTCACAAGGTCTGACCAGTTCCTTCCGTTCACCTGGCCCCTCGGTAGTCGGGCCCCAGCCATCCAACCAGGACCCACCGCGTGCATGTCTCCCGACACACAAAACGATATTTGTCCTGTGACTATCCTTTCGGCCTGATCTTATTGAATCATAAATAGATTAGACTTTTTCTTTTTTGGGTGGAGACTGGACAGAAGTAGATGAGATAAGAGATCCACCAATGTCTGATCTTAACGTGCTCCCACAGATGAAAGAATTGAAAATTCAAACATGCTGGTGTAATATGGCCATGGCTTGCACCATCTTTTCTGGTTGAATGATCACTCTGTGCAATGGGCCAACTATCACCATCGTCAAGGCTGGTGAATGGGTCTATCTTGTTGGAGGAAGACACCCACTTGCTTGGTCTCACCATTGCCCCAGATAAAACTACAGAAATTAGTAATATGGTGTGTGGAGATGAGTTCGAATCAGCCCCCACAACGTACCAAAGTACATCCCCGCCGTGTATCGGTAACATCTCCCGCTCCTACATCATTTCTGTATTATGATCAGGAGATGATTTCAATATACGATGGGGATGTATGTGCTCTGGAACGTTGTGGGGGGCTGATTTGATCTCTGTGGAGATGGGATTAAAATCAGAATATTTTAGAGTATAATTACTATGTATTCTAAATATGTGCTACACTTTGAATCAAAATTTTAATCAATTGAGTTTATGATATCACATGTTTTGTTTACTTTTCATTGGTTTGTTTTATACAGGTGTCCATACATTAAAAACTTTTCACGACATTAAAGATGTCACTTTTATCACTAGTCCATTCACAATTGAACTATGTTGCAAAAATTTCCATGGAATACACCATAGATTTTGCCAATAATTTAATGTGTCTAATCCTCTAAATGAAACTACAAATAGCTTTTTAGTGATGAAATACGATGATGTGCGGTCAAGATATTTCTAGTTGGAAGATGATCCGAATTCTAATCGAGCGACGAGCTGGACCGATATGCAAAATAGTGGATCAGAGAACTCGGAGTAGCTAATCCGGTAAGGTCGCTCTGATGTTTAAGTTAGTACTTATGCTAGGAATGCGAGCTGAATATTTGAGTGCTTGAATGCTAGTGAATAAAGCAATCACGCATACCTTTGCCTTGAGGTTTCATGTCCTTATATAATGGAGTAGTCGTGGGCCTTACGAAAGAGCTCCGGGATCTCCGGACTGTGCAGATAAGGTTTGTTCCGTTTTTGAAAGAAAGCAACATGTTGATAAGGTTTATCATTTACTTTCGATTCAGGCGGAGCTAGGACGAGTCTCATTGTGATCCCGAGAAATTTGGGGTCCGTTGGGGAGGCCTTTGGAGCAGGTTATGTGGCGTTTTGGCTCATTAGCTCCGAACTGGCACTTCGATTCTTTAGTCCCGAACTAGAATGGGTATCGAGGTGTCTCTACGCCGAGGTGGTTTTTTAGGATGAGGTGGCAGATACTCAAGCTCCGAATGTTGTGAAATGGGTTCGTTCGGCTGAGTTGTCACCCCTCAAGCAGATCGCGTCTACGTGTCCCCTTCTTACTAGGTCATGCCAAATCACCCTTCATCAATTGCCCCCTACTCCTCGTGCTAGGGGTCCCAACCCGGTGCAGGGAGTTCATGACGAGTTCAGGTGGATTTGGCACGAAGTCTAGACAATTTGGAGGGCGCCCGTTGGTCGGGCCTGTTCAACCATCTGGCTCAACCATGAAATGACCCAGGTCGCGTCTCGGGCACGCGCGGACGTCACACTGTTTATAAACTCCGCGGACGCCAAAGGGCGCACTCAACCGATTTTGTCCTTGGGTAGCGTGCAACCGATTTTCATGGGAGTTGTCGGATCGTACATGTCTCAACCGTTGATTGCCGAATGTGGTGGACAATAAATAGAGGGCCGAAGGGCCCATTACCTTTGCCATAAATCGTGTAACTGAGCTCTCCTGAGATCGCTTCGGAGTCCTTCAACTCGCCATTCTTTCCTTTTGTGTCCGAGGTCATTATTGTCTTTTTGGTGAGTTCGCCTTCTTTCACTAGTTGTTTCCTTTTCCTTTTCCTGTCGAATATGTCTAGTGCTAGCATAGATAGGTTACTTAGCGATACTAATGAGCCCGAGGGTGCCGAGGTGCGGTCCTCGGTTCTCGCCAGTGGGGCCAGCTCTTTGCTAGAGAGCTTCTCTTTACACCTTTTAGGAGAAACGTCTTTACCTGACGTTGGGCCATCTCGGCTTGAGGAACCTGAACCTCAGGTAGAGCGACCGACCTCCGGAGAGGGTGTCCCATCTTCTTCTCGAGGTCGGGATCCAGACAACTTCGGCCCTTCCACGATGACCTCGGACAGATTATTGTCCATGGTAGCCCGTTATTGTCTTCCCGACACCCTTGTCTTCAGTATTCCTTTGGGTCAATACCCTTTGGTTCACGGTCATCATGAGCTCACGATTTTTGAAGAGCAGCTCGTAGTTGGGTTGTGCTTCCCGCTCCACCCTTTCATCGTAGAAATCATTAAGTTCTTCAACATCACCATTGACCAGCTACACCCGAACTCCATTTGTACCATTACTAGCACGATCTCACTTTTCCATGAGTATAACCGACCTCTTACCCTAGACATCTTTAGTTCGATTTGCTCCATCAAGAAGAACTCTTCTTGCCTGCGCGGGGACACCCGACAGAGCTATTATATCTCTCCTCGCCCTGGTTCAAGGTTCTGTTCGGTAACCCGAACAAAGTATCGGCCTGAAAGAGGAGGTATTTCTTTGTTTGGAATCTTGAAGGGTGGCCATTCCCGACTCACTGGCGAGTGGCCATTATGGACCCCAGGGTGAGGCTGGGTGTTGAGACTATGGTGGTCATCAACTCTTGGAGGGACCTCGGCCTTGAAATGAAAGATTTCCTGGCTAAGGAAAAGCTTGTACGAGTTGAGCTGAGTCCTCCTGGTAGGCCTCCACCTCGGCACACACATCACTTTCCTTTTTTCTTTTTGCACTTACTTCAGTTCGTGGCTAACTCTTTTTCTTTTCTCTTGCAGAAGCTATGACCGGTGTTGGCACTGCTAACCTTCTGAGGAGTGTTCAGAAGGGAAAGAAGAGAAAGGCCTCGAAGAGGTCTCATCGAGAAGAGGCCGGCTCTTCGGTTCCTGCTGATCCCGAGGTCGCAGCGCTAGAGCAAACCTCCGACGAGCTCCCGGGGGAGGAAGTTCACCCCCAGCCTCCGGTTGTTGATCTAGACGAGGACCATGATGAGGGGACCCCCACCTCGCGAGCCCGAGGGTACATCGGTGCCCGATCCTCAGCCCCTCAACGAAGGAGAGCATAATGACTCGTGTGGCTCGAGCTTCTTAAGAGCAAGGATGTCGTGTTTCTTGTAGAGGTCGCGGAGTGGGCTAACATGCCAACGAGTCAGCTCGGAGAGAGAGAGGCTTGATATTGTATGGTCGTAAGTAACCTACCCCTTTGTTTACCTTCTTATTCTTCTGTTAATGGTACTTACGCTTGCTTTCTATTTATTAGGTGAACTCTGCTATCTACTCACTTGTCTACCAGTCTGAGATCCGCTTGAAGCAAGATCGGGAGGCCGAAAAAAACACTCGAAATCATTACTGCGAGCTGGATTTAGCTCGAGTTGAAGTTCTTAGAGCCAAGAAGGAAGCTCGGAGCCAGGAGGAGCTGATCCTTGTACTAACAGAGGAGAAGAAGAAGTTCAAAGGGGAGAAGGAAGCTCTCCTCCAGGAGAACGAGAGCGTCGAGGCGATGATCAAGGAGCGCACTGAGATCTTCAACGCGCCATCTAAGAGGCGCGAATTCAAGAGAGAGATCGCGTTGTCAAGGAGTTCAAAGAGTCCCCTGAGTTTCACGACCTCCAGGTCGAGTATGGCTTTGGCTCGTACTAGTCGCGTTTCAAGCTCTGCAAGTGGCTGATGCAGCAAAAGTTTCCCGAGCTCGACTTCAGATTTATCTCCATGTCCACCGTCACTCCTGAGATGGCGAAGGAGGCTGACGAGGAGCTTGACTCCTTCGAGGGGGAAAGTGATGATGAAATTCTCGAGGCGAGACCGTCAGGGGAGGCAGGCCGAGACGACGTGGAGGAGGACCACATGGAGACCGACCTACCTCCGAGCTCGGTTGTAGTAGTTGTTTTTTTTTTTTGTATTCGGAACTTTTGTTAATGAAACACAATACTTCGAAAAGTCTCATGTGTGTGAGTACAGCAAAATCTTTTTTGAGTAAAAAAAATTTCTAGTGTTGGTTATCCTGAAGTGCCGAGCTTGAAAGGAATGGTAGGATCCATCTATGGACGCCAAAACTGTTGCGGAATGGGTGGGCGAATTTCAAAAATTTCCTACCTTCCTTCCAACTGGGAATCGTATTCCCAGATTTTAGAATCAAATTCAAGGATCCTACTTGAACCAAACCAGACCAGATTTGAACCAAAAGAGAAGGGAGTGATTATACCTGATCCAGAGAAGTAATATCTCCCAAAGTTGGTGTTCACGCCCAAAGAAGACACCAAGATCAGCTCCCACTGAAGATGACACAGTGATGATGGAGCCGAACCAGCAGTGTTTGTCCCATGAACCAGGTTCTTCTGAAGAATTCGATGGAAGACTGTGAGCACCACACGTACAATCAAGACCTTTCTTGATTTTCTCAAACTGAGAACTCGAACTGGCAGAAAAGGTGGCGGCTGCTGCTGGAGGAGAATGCTAGAGAAGAMGATGGCRAAYTGCTATWTTCCTCTCTAGGGTTTCTGAGATCCTATCTCAAAAATGCAGAGTGTTCTCTTGGAAAACCTAGGGTTCAAATTCAAGTAATTTGAAATGATTAAGAAAACCTCCTAATCATATCAGGAGTTGCCTTTATCCAAATCTGTATTTGGATTAGGACTCTTCTTAATCTTATCTACAGATTAGATAAGCTTTTAGGCTTATCCTAATCTCAGATCCG